TTCTTGAGTTGCATTGCGAGTTAATTATGAATGAAGCTGGCGGTGACAACACACAACTAACCATATGTGCAATCAATTTGATACCTCAGAAAATACGCCTACTATGCTTAATAGATTTTTACATATTGTTCACAAGTTGTGATAGGGAAGGAAACTTCAACAGAACAAAAGTATTTTCATCCAACTGGCATCTCTCATCATTATTATTCACACTCACACACGCACAAACACGCACACATACAAACACAATTTTCTTCAAAAAACACAGATATAACTCAACTGATAAATCCTGTCAAACAGTTTACCAAACAGTGTTTTTTTTTCTCAAGGCAATAAAAATTTTAGTTGTAATGTGTTTGAGGGTAAGTTCAGTTTCACAATCTGTCTGTGTACTTTTGGCTGTATGTGCATGTGTGTTGGTGTCTGTGTGTGTGTGCGTGAGAAATTGACATCGCCCGATTTAAACAGACATTGAAGAAAGACTTGACGAGTTGACTGTCTGCTTACATCATCACTTTCATCGTCATGATGATGCTGCTGATAACGATGAAGACGAAGGTGATGACAGTTGCTGAGAAACCGCGTTGAGGACAATAAAAGGAGGAACATGGTGTTGAAAAGTGTGAGTTGATTGTACAATGAAGAGAGATGGTTGGTTGTACAAGACACAATGAACTGATCATTACAAGTTGACTACCACCATACAACATGAAGGAGAAATGAGTTGAGAGAGAAAGTGAATGAATACAGAATGAATATTATTTCAAAAAGAATAAACTTTTTCACGAAAAATATCAAACTGTTTTCTAAAACGAAGAAATATGAAATATTCAGACAGAAAGCATGAACGGAATTCCCCAATTGGGAATCATTCTTAACATTTGTTCAAACCACAAACTGATATGATTTAGGTCAAATTGAGATGAAAAGTGGAAAAAGGAATATTTAAAAATATGTTGATTATTATTGAATAAGTGAACTTTGAATATTTCAGTTTATCTTGTGACCTTGACTAGTTGGTTAGTTTAAACAATAAAAACATTCGTATACACCTATGAAGAATGCTATACTCAGATGAGCAGACACACACACACCAAGTAACTTTCGTCAAAATCCTTCCCAGCAATATCAAAAATAATACCATTCACATTAGATTAAATATCCACATTCAATGTTCAATAATTGTACAAGTGTGGTGTGTGCTACTTATACGAACGATATCAGTAGTATAAGAAGGGACGTGAAAGAAGAAGAAGTCTCACGGTCGTCAGAAGAGGAAACCGGAAAGCAAATGGAGCAAAAAAGCAAGAAGAAAGTGGAGTATCAACAGGAAGAAGTAAAGGAAGCAACAACAGGAATGGAAGAAGAAGGATGGAGTGTTGGAAGTCACGACGACTCAAAGATGGTGTGCAAATAGAGTAGTGTTCAATGTAATGTGTTCATTTTTAATTGCCTGAGAGTGTAAATTTGCATCATACAATCTTCAGAGTCTGCCTCAATCTTCTCACAAGTTCTACTGTGAAGTTGATCAATGAATCAATGTTATTTCATTGTTGTACAGAACAAAATGTGCTTGAGTTTTATGATCAGCTTTTGTTAAACGATGAGCTGTTTTGAAAGTGGTGGATGACATAAGGAGAAGTGGATTTTAACGAAAATAAGATTAGACACTGTATACTCCAAATACAACCGACTGTGTGTAAGAGTGTATGTTGGAGTAACACTGTCTCTGTTGTTCAAAATTCATCTGTTGAACGTTGAACGATGTAACAATGTAATCTAAAGTGGTATACTTACTTACCCGAGTATAGAAAAATGACATTCGCTGACTCAACCTACTTCATATGACTGAGGGAAATAGTGAAAATTGAATGTTACCAGAACAGAGGACAACACTGCAAACAAGAATATCAATCACCCCATTTACAAGTAAACGACCATGAGATATGAGGAATTAGAATAAAGATTCACATTTGTACAAATCAAATTAGGAACATTACACACTGATGATATAAACGAACAGTTAATTGTTATTTTCAATTAGATGGTCATTGGGCTGTTTCAGTCAGTCATTTGCAACGTAGAATTTCATACGTAAATACATCAGTTCATGTTGACATACCACATTAGCACGGAGATTCAATTGTCAAATCAAATCCCACAGTGATGTAGATAGTAGAGGTATTAATGGTAATGAAGAAGACTAGGGTTTGAAGATATTATTCAAAAAGTATAGTCTAGTGAGATAAGTTCAGAAAGTCAAAGGTAGAGGTGTTGACGAATCCACAAGATTAGGATTTTAGAGAACACAATGAGTGTATGCAGTTGCGCGATTGCAAACGATTTTGAGCCATGTCATTCAAGGTCTATAACCATCGGTTGCTATCTTCTTGCGGACCTCAACCAGCTAGTCGACATCTACCAGCATGACTTAGTCCATTTGTCAGTGACTTCATGGATTTCTGCCATGTTGTCGTTTGGCTACCCCTAACTCATCGGGCTATTTAGTTCCTACTATAGATAAATATTATCAAACTATCTCTTAATCTTAGATTTGTACTATTTCTAATTGTTATCAACCATGCTCACAATTGATTATATATGTGTATTCTATGTGGCTGTTGTGTTGCCAGTTCACTTCTTCTTCTTGGTGTATTTCTTGGTGTATTTTTCTTACGCTGCTTTTCGGATTCGCTCAACTTACAGTGTTTCCTCAGGGTATTATACTATCTTCTCAGCTACACCAGATAGTCGAAGAAGCCACCTCAGTGTAACCCTATCCATGCTGTTGAATGCTTTATCACTGTCAGTCAACTTGATATATTATGGTGAGTTCCATTCAATCGATTGTTCCACAATGATACGCAGAGTCGAGGTTTGGTCAGTACACGATCGATCCATACAGAATCCAGCATGCTGATCTCACAGTTCAGCGTCTACGAAATTTTTCATTCGGTTTGGTGACTCTGTGTTAAAGACATTTCCTTGTATTGAGGAAAGAGTGATGGTCTAGCTGCCCCTAACTCATTGGGCTGTTTACTTTCTACTATAAATACAGGCATATTGATTTAGTGAACATAGTTAAACCAATCAAGACAGTTTATGAGTCAATAACATCAATGAAATTGATTTCATCCTCACTTTGTACTTTTCCACTTATTCTGTGCGGTGACGTAATCGAAATCCTCGTGATTATTGACTGAAATTGCTGTGATTGGTTGAACATTTTCATATAAGGCATTCGTGTAGATTAGAGAGTAAAGCCGGAATAGTGTATTTCGAAATGAATGATTTGATAGACAGACAGACAGCCGGACAGTCGACAACGACGCCAAGAAGAAAGATAGCGAGCTATCGATAACGGAGTCAACGATGATGATGATGATGACGCTGATGTTGATGATGAGGAGTTTGGAAAGGATGACAAACTTTCTAATTTCATATCATCAACAAATTTATTCATGTGATTAACAAAATTCCAAGATGGTTAGTTAGTGAAGGGTGATAATTAATGTTGACAATGTACATTATGATTACGGTTACAAGTTATAATTATCAGTGTATATATTGAACATGTAATCAACAATTTGTATTCGCGTGCGTCAATCACTACCCTCCTCCATCTATCTATCTGTTAATTGAGCTTGTGTCGATCCATCTACTGAGTACTAATCACTAACTTCACACACACACACACACACAGGCACAAATCGTTACCTGAAACAGATTTGAGCTATGAGGAGGAACTCACGAGAATACATCATCGCCATGTTTATTCCATGTTTAATCAAAAAATATGTGTATGTCTCCTCTCAGTGTGTGTGTGAGAGAGAGAATTCACACACATACACACACAGTGATAATTACCGTGTGTTTGTTTTGAACAAGAAGAAAGTGACTGATGATATAATTATTACTACTACTCGTATTAATAATAATAATAATAATAATAATAATAATAATGATAATAATAATAACAGCTAGTTAGTATTAAGTAGAGAAATTGTGAAAGAGTGTGAATTCATTACATTTAATATGTAAGGGGAGGCATATGTGCTCATTTTGGACTGGCCTCGTGATGAAATTCTCGGGTTTCTTATAAGAATCCGTGACCAGTGGAGTTCAATCCGTGTGAAGAGTGAGGCAGTTACTCACCGAAGAAGACTACCGATGAAGGATTGTGTGATATCAAGGACTGATTTAAGTTGGACATTAACACAGACGGATATCGTGTCTACAGTGTTAAGCATTCGCGTACAATACCGAAGGATCTGAGTTCGATCCCTGTACTTTCAAGAATCGTTGGTGTGCACTGCTAATGAGTCGCATTCTGGGACGAAACGTCTCTCCAGCTGTTCGAGGTTTCTAATAATAATAATAACAATCGAACAATGATTGATTCCTCATCATTTCGATTAAAAATGTTTATCACAAAGTAATCACAATGAAAAAACAGACCAGTAGTTTTACTTCGCTTGTTAAACAATGATGGCCATATCAATTCTTCACTAGAACAAGTAAAAATCAAATTCAACATCTCAGTAATCTGTTTATCTATCTATCTATGCTGTTTCATCTGTCTATATGTCTATATGTCTACCTTCTGTTGGTGTGTGTGTGTGTGCATATCCATCCCGTCTGTCTACATGAATGTCAGTCAGTGTGTGTGTGCGTGTATGTACACATCCATTAACCTCTTAACCACTAAGGCGAATAGTGTCCATGTGGGGATTAAAATAGAATTTTCAAAATTCCAATTAATCAACTCATCAAATATTCAATTTTTCCTCTCACCCCAAATTTATTTTTTAATAAAATAACTAATGACAATTATAATTACCATAACTAAAAAATATTATTTCATAAAATTGATAAAAAGTGATTACAAAAATAATTTATTTTTTTCATTCAAAAAAGGAGAAAAATGTTTTAATTTGATTTCTGCATCAATAAGTAATTTTTTAATCAATGAATGAATGAATTTATGAGTTCCACTCCCCCAACACCTCACTCTACACCCCCCCACACACACACTCTCCCTCTGTGTGTTCATCAGGTGAATTGGCAATGATCACTCCAGTTTAATCCCTTTCACTTAAATTCTTATTTTTCGAGTTTCTATGCAGTCAAAGCATACAAATCCATGTGTTGTGTAATCAAAACACACACACACACAGTAATAACCTGCTTCATCTCTCATGCAAATTGTCCACATCATATAGACAGAAACTGGATGCAAGTGAGTAGTGAGGAGTGAGTGTGGAACACAAGTGATTGAGTAGTATGTATTTAAGTAGTGTTATTGTGGATAAGAGTGAAATTTTCTGCGTACACAATTGATTATTATTCAGTAAACTGATGATAACGACTTATTTCTTCATGGTTTTTTTAAATAAAGCGAACATATTTTTGCTTTTCAATGTTCAATGTTTGTGTGTTGATCGAATGATGATTTCGTTATACCATTGTGTACTCTGAACGAATTTACACACCCCCTGCACCCAATTTGATTTATGCATCAGTGATTTCATGTTGCTAACACCATAAGAATATTATTTTTTTTTTCAAACCATGA